GCCGTTGAAGGTGCCGCTACTGGAGCCGATGCGGAAGGAGACTGGTGCGGAGGTACGGGACAGAGGGCGGGTGGAGTAGGGGGGGTAGGGGGAGACTGGTGTGGAAGTATGGGACAAAGGGCGGATGAGGGGGGTAGAGCACGTGCGGAAGAGGGACGACGCGGGCTGGAGGTGCGCGCCTGAATGGCATGCAAGTCAGGGGCAATGGTGCGCAAGTCAAGGGCGATCGCGCTCTTCTTGCTAATGAAGGAGCGCACACCATCTACGACGGCATGCTGGTTGGCCGTGTCTTATGCGTAAGCCACTCGCGCCATTGCCCGCGGCTGCATGCACACTATCCACGGCAGGGAACGCAGACCCGTGAAAGTTGCACTAGGAGACCGCACCGGCGCGCTGGTCGGCGGCGGCTGCGTACAGGCAGTTCGCGACAGCGAGCCGTCGGCATGCACGGTGGCGCCTCGACCTTCCGCGGCGGCGCAACCGTCGCCTGCGGTTGTGCATCGGCCGTTCACGGCGGCACACTTGTCGTCCACGGCCACGCGTCGGCCGTTCGAGGCGGTGCGCTCATCGTCCGCCTCTGCACGTCCGCTTAATGGTCGGCCAGCTGTCTGCTAGCTGTCCGCGACGACGCACTTGTCGGCTGCGGTTGTGTACTGGCCATCCGCGACGGCATGTCCGACGTCCGTGGATGCGTGCAACACGTCTGCGGCAAGGCGTGAGGAGAGGTGCGGCTGCGAGCAAGGGGAGGAAGAGGAGTTGCAGCCGTGGGAGAGAAAATTAAAGCTGCAAGAGGAAGGATAAAGGCCGCGAGGGGGTCGATCTGAGTTGGGGAAGGGCAGACATAAGCCACGGGAGGGCAGACCTTTTCCGAGGGAGGGCGATCTGAGTCGAGGGAAAGCGGATCGGGTCTACAGAAGGCGGATCTAAGTTGCGGGAGGGTAGATCGGGTCTATGGGAGGACGGATCTGAGCCGCGAGAGGACAAATCTAAGGCATAATCTAATAAGGTGATGCCTTGGGGACTTGTGTGAGAGTACAACGGCTTAAGCTGGTTTTCCTAGCTTGCCTTTACGACGCTATTACTAGCTTAGGTTTATTTCATCTTGCATGTTTATACTTGATTTCCTAGGTTAGGTGCTTTCTTAGGTTATATAATCATTGTAATTGTTCTTTAATATCAATCATTGTTCCAACACTCATCCAGTACAAGAATCCATAGAAACTTTCGTTGCAATACCTTATTAAGACTAAACTATAAAAGATCCCTATCTTTCAGCCCAACACTTGTCACCCAGCAAAAAAAATATTGTATGATTGAAATACTGTTTGATTTTTCACAATGGACCCACATGTTTCCTACGCCAGCGCAAAAGCTACTTATCCCATTTCTTATTATATCCCAGACGAATATTTCATTCTCAAGCAAAATTGGCCTTTCCTCGATGTAACATCGCACCAATTCATAAGGAGGTACATGTTGAGTCAACGCCAAAAGTGCGCTAGCATTTTGTCAGAATGTGTAGTTTTTCTAGCCTGCAGTGGGGTACTCTATAGCGAGTACAGCCCAATTTAGGGTTTCCTATATGTACTCAACTGCCTGCTAGTGCAAACCACTCTTTCCTGTTCTATCATTCTGCTACTATCTCTGACATGCTATCAGAGCGGTCACGCTCCTAGCCTGTGGGCCCACCGTTAGCTTCCGCTGCTGTCCTGTCGCGCGCCCCCCGTGGTGCGCGACGTTTTTTTTTTTCTTCCCGCCACGCGCTCCTGGCGCATGGCGGTTTTCTGCTCGCCGAGCGCTCGGGGCGTGCGGCGTAGTTCTGCCCGCCGTGCATCCCGAGGCGCGCGGCGGTTTCCTGCCCCGTCGACCAGCGTGTCGCCCCCCCGTCGCCCGTCAAAGCGCCCCCGGGGACCCGCGCGCCGCCCCCCCTCCCGTCGCCTTGTCGCGGCGCCTTGGGGGCCCGCGCGCCGCCCCCTCCCGTTGCCTCGTCGCGGCGCCTTGGGGGCCCGCGCATCGCCCCCCCTCCCGTCGCCTCGTCGCGGCGCCCTGGGGGCCCGCGCGCCGTCCTCTCCCGTCGCCTCGTCGCGGCACTTTGGGGGCCCGCGCGCTGCCCCCCTCCCGTCGCCTCGTCGCGGCGCCTTGGGGGCCCGCGCGTCGCCCCCTCTCGTCGCCTCGTCGCGGCGCCCTGGGGGCCCGCGCGCAGCCCCTCCCGTTGCCCGTCGAGGCGCCCTCGGGGGCCCGCGCGCGGCCCCCCTCCCGTCACCCGCCGTGGCGCCCTCGGGGGGCCCGCGCGCTGCCCCTCCTGCAGCTCGCGAACCGCCCCTGCAGCCCGCGAACCGCCCCTGCAGCCCGCGAACCGCCCCTGCCGCCTCCTCCCCTCGTGCAACTGCGGGGTGGCGGGTATGGGGGTGGCGGGTGTGTGTGTCGTCACTTGCTCCTCCTCCTCCGTCTCCCACTAGTGCAGCTCCCGCTGAGGGGGGTGGATGTGTGGGAGCCGCGGGCGTGGCGCTAGGGGGGTGTCGTGGGTGTTGAGCTAGGGTTCAGCAGGGGGTGTGTGAAAGGGGGTCTGAGAAAATTGGGGAGGTTGAAGGGGGGTGGCCGCCGTGAAGCCAGCAGCTCTAGTCGCCCGTGAGACCGTTGCGCCAGTCGCCCGTGAACGCGTCGCTCCAGTCGCCCGTGAGCCAGTTGCTCCAGTCGCCCGTGGGTCAGTTACTCCTGCCGCTCGTCTAGCCGCGGAGCCAGTTTCTCCAGTTGCCCGTGTGCCAGTTGCTCCAGTTGCCCGTGTGCCAGTTGCTCCAGTTGCTAGTGTGCCAGTTGCTCCAGTTGCCCGTGTGCCAGTTGCTCCAGTTGTGCCGTGTGCCAGCAGCTTCAGCTGCCGCCCACCACCTCCTCTCCTCTCACAGTCCCGCCTCCTCCTCCTCACTTGCCCTTTGTGAATGCCTCTAGCTTTGCTTATATTTGTGAACTATGAACTGATGCTTGTTGTGCTGATCATACCCCACTTTGACTATGGGGGTGTGTCAGAATGTGTAGCTTGTCTAGCCTGCAGTGGGGTACTCTATAGCGAGTACAGCCCAATTGAGGGTTTCCTATATGTACTCAACTACCTGCTAGTGCAACCCACTCTTTCGTGTTCTAACTTTCTGCTCACTATCTCTGACACATTTCTGTCGCTTTCGCGAGTCCATACAATTTTTTTGGTTGCCTCAGGCTTGCAACAATTGCGCGTTGCCGTGTTGTGACGACAGCCAGCTGCGTGAAAATTAGGTTTCGTAGTTAGTCCATTCCGTACCGTTACATCATATGTAGATTCATCTAGTAGCGGCGCTCGAGCCGTGCCATTATTAGTTTTGTTCTTTTTCATAGTAGCGGCGTTGCATTGTCTTCAATTTCCGCGAGCAACATCTTTCTTCCGTAAACTTTGCGCAACCCTCATTTCGCGCACGTATTCTTCGCACATACCGCTCGCATGTGTCGCCCACACGTCGCACGGTGTCGTCGGGGGCGCCAGCCGCAGCACGCCGCGAGAACCTCTTTCGTGCTGCTGCTTCTGACACTCGTTTCTGCCTTCCCGCAGAATGCGCCGTCTATCGTGGCCACCTGGCGCCGCCACCCCAATGGAGGAGCAAGCAGAGCGTGAGCATTCCTCCACTTTCGCTAACCCAGCGTCGCACCCTCCTCGCTCTTCCCGCTATCCCCCGTGCCCTCCTTGCCCTCTCCTCTATCCTCGCTCTCCCCGATATCCCTTCTGTCCCTGTTATCCCCATTCTTCCAGTTGTCTACTCTCTACTCTCCTCGTATCCTTCTTTCATATCCCCACAACCATCCCCCATGCTGCCCGCGCCCCCCTCCCCCCTTCGTTCCCGTGTCCCCTGTTCCTTCTCCCCTCTTCCTGGTGCACGCGCACAGGCGCAGCGCCACTGGCGTTCTGGAAGGCGATGGGGCGCTGAGAGGGGTTGAGGGCGAGCAGGTGGGCACCTTCCCCCCACCCCACCCCCCGTCTCTCCCCCCCCCCCCCCCCCCCCCACCCTTCCCCCACACAGACACCGCCACTGGCGTTCTGGGAGGCTATGGGGTTGTGGCGAACGGGGTTTGCGCCGCACCATCCTCCTTCCCCACTGCCTAACCCTCCCACTTCCCCTGCCCCACCATTCCCCACCATCCTCCTTCCCATGCAGGCGATGCACTGCTGGCATTCTGGGAGGCCTGGGCCGAATCGAGGGGCTGCGGGGGGGCGGGCGGGCGGGTGAACAGGCGGGCGGGCGCCTAACCTTCTCCTCCCTTCCCTTACACCGCCTGTCCCTGCCCCCCCTTGCTTCTCCCCCCCGCTCCCCCCTGCACAGGCGCAACGCTGCTGGCGTTTTAGAACACCATTCGTTTCCCCCCTATTGCTACTGTTTTCTTCCTTAGCACACCTTCCCGTTTCCCCCTCTTGCATTTGGTTGTCCCCTTACCACATCATCTCGGCCCCCCCCCTTACATTCTGTTTCCACACTTAGCACACCATCCCGATTCCCACTCGTGCACTCTTTTTTCCCCGTTAGCACACCTTTCCATTCCCCCCACTGCGTAACCTCCTTTCCCCTCACTCGCCGTCTCCCTTTTCCCCCACTGTATCCCCTTCTTCCCCCTACTGCCTGGCCTCCTTTCGGCCTTCCATCGGCCCCACTGCATTTGCTCCCACGAATTTGTAGCCCCAAAGTCGTAAGCGATGTCGTTGGTGCTGAAAATGTTTGCATTTCCTCCCTTCGCCTTTTCAATATATTTGAAAAAAACAGTTCCACAATTCTCGTTGCATGGGTTTTATGTTCTCTTAGAATTTAGACTCCAGACACTTCTGTGACCTGCACTAAACCCCTCTTGGCATATTCTTGTGTTTTGGTTGTCTAAGTTTCCCTCCCCTTCCTTGGTCCCCCTTGACTGCTCGCCTTTTCCCCACTGACTGCCGTCTTATTTCCTTCCTGGATGCGTTCCATAGGGTTGTGTGGAGTAGCTGGTTATTAGGCAATATGCCACACGGGGGGAAAGGAAGGCACACACGGGGGGAAAGGAAGGCGCGCACTGGGGGAAAGGAAGGCGCGCACTGGGGGAAAGGAAGGCGCGCACTGGGGGAAAGGAAGGCGCGCACTGGGGGAAAGGAAGGCGCGCACTGGGGGAAAGGAAGGCGCGCACTGGGGGAAAGGAAGGCAAGCACGGGGGGAAAGGAATGCGCACTGGGGGGAAGGAAGGCTCTGACGGGGGGAAAGGAAGCCGCGCAGGGGGGAAAGGAAAGACGCTACCATCGTAGGGAAAGTTAGGCACGCACGGGGGGAAAGTAAGGCGCGCACGGGGGGAAAGTAAGGCGCGCACGGGGGGAAAGTAAGGCGCGCACGGGGGGAAAGTAAGGCGCGCACGGGGGGAAAGTAAGGCGCGCACGGGGGGAAAGGAAGGCGCGCACGAAAGGGGGTTAGGGGAGAAAGGCATTCATGGGGGGGGGGGGAGGAGAAGGAAGACATGAGCGGAGGGAAGGCAGACGAATGTGAGGGAAGGGTGGCAAATGTGAGAGAAGGGAGATGAATGTGAGGGAAGGGAAACGGATTTGAGAGAAGGGAGACTGATGTGAGGGAAGGGGAGGCATGTAGTGGCTTGATGTAGTGGACCGATGGTGGCGCATATGAGGAATGAGTGCCGCATGTGATCGACGGGAGACGGAAAAGCGAGGTCCGCGTTGGAACCGTGCGAGGGGCTGTGGAAACTAGCAAAGGCTTAGAGGTAGTATACGCGTGGCGGACACGGGAAACGCGCTAACCATAGGCGAATATAAGGCGGTAGAAGAGGGATGAGCGGATGAAATGAGCGTCTAGCGTCTGACACGAGCCTAGGGCGGCAAAAACGAGCCTAGGGTGGGAGAAACGAGCCCACGGCGGCAGAAACGTGTCAGTAGATCTGCACTGTGGATGCCCGATTGATCCCAGGGGGGGTTACAGGCGCGTTCGCCTGGGGGGTTATGGGCGCACAAACCCGCTACATAAACAAGCCCTTTTATCCCAGTGGTCTAGCGGCTGGGATTCTGACAACACGAACCTAGGGCTACAAAAACGAGTCTAGGGCGGCAGAAACGAGTGCAGTTTGCTAAACGATTGAAGTGGTCCTTTATATGACGTTGGGCCCCGAAAACATGAGAAGGGCGTCGGAATAGAGCCTATAGCGGCTGAAATGTGTGCTAGGAAGCCGAAACAAGCAAAGGGCGGCGGAATATGGCGGCTATAGAGTGGTAAGGGATTCAACAACGCCCGATGGGAGGAGCCACGCACTATTTCCTGAACTTAGCACTGGCGATCTCATCCTGTAGCGACTGGTTTTTGTGGCGAATGTTTCTACCAACGGTTTACACTATAGTCGTTTTTATCTCGCTGAGATCGCTACGTCAAAAACCATGTGTGGGCGACGGGAGCACCTATTTTTTCCTGAAGTAGTAGAGACTTGTAGGCATTGTTAAGACCAAATAGACAGTCGAGTTGAGTCCGCTTTTGTTCAAAGGTTTTTTTTTTTACCAGCCTAGCAGCAGAGATCCGCTGGTGTTGGCAAGACGATGGGGTGGGTTTCTTCGCCAGGGAGCCCTGCTGGCCTTCCGATTCCCTCCCCCCTCAAAAACAGGGTTACCAGCAGTTCAAAAAAAAATATTTTGAACCTAGCCTGCCAAAAGTGCACTGTCGATTTAATGAAACACGTATGGACTGATCCTATTTTTTTTTTAAACATATTCAAACAGATCTTTTCTCTCTGTACATAATTTTCTCCTCCTGGTCTAACATCGCACCTGATCATATCGTGGTAGATGTCGATTCAACTCCAAACAGAAGTGCTCTGGCATTTCTATCACTTCTACGAGACCAGACAAAGTCTGTGGTTGCCTCAGGCAGCCGTATAGCCAGGTTTTCTCGAGGGTGTGGAACATCTGGTAAGCTAAAACAATTCGCACAGAGCCCTGAGTTCCACACCGTCGTGCGTTTTGGTTCCTAACTCCATGACGATTCTGACCTTGCTTTGCTCGGACGTAAAAACTGGAACATTATAGCAGTTCTTGAATGTTTAATTTCGAAAGCAACTGTGCACGCTGGCGACGTCGCACATGTCAACGGGGGTTGTGTAATGGCCCCGTCCTCGCTTGGGCGGAGCCGACTTAGGGGTCGGGTGTGAGGGGAGCAGCCGACCTGCAGCAGTGGGCGAGCTGGTCGACGAAGGTGGTCAACCTGCGTGGGTGCCACTGCACTGGCGCCGACTTCTGGGTGCCGGCTTTGGGGTGGTCGACCTGGTGGTCGACCTGACGAGGGTGGTCGACGAAGGGAGGCGTCGACGTCGACCTCGACAAGGGACGGGCGGTGACTTGGGGACGCCGACCTGGACAAGCCGACTTGGGTGGTCTGCTGACAGGTGTGCTGGTTAACGTGGAGCTGGTCGACCAGGAGTGTCGTCGACCTGGGGCTGGTCGACCAAAGGTGTGGTCGACCTAGTGAGGTCGACAGGAAGTGGCCGTCGACTTGGGTGGTCGACGGACACGCGAAGGAGAAGCTGGTCGACGTGGTTGCCCGGTCGACCAGGTTACCTGGGTGACGAGGTTCTGCGGAGGAGTGCGACAGTTGCTCAGGCGGTTTTGGCAAGACCGACCTCGGTGGTGGTATCCCGAGGTCGACGTGGCGGATCAGATGCGGTCGTCAGCACGGGGAGCTGTGGTGTGTGCGCTGTGCAGGTGACAAGGCACAGCACGCCAATCATCTGCGAGCACCTACGAAGTAGGTGCGTTGCTGTTCTGCGGGAGCAACGCTGGCACGCCGTTGACCTGCAGTGTTGGCACGCCGTCAAATTTGCACTGCTGGAGCGCGGTCGACCAAGTCGTGCTGGAACGCGGTCGACCATGCTGCACTGGCAATCGACCGACCTGAATGCTAGCTCTGATGTAGTCTGGTCTTGCCAACCTCATTGTACCATTGTTGTCAACATTCCTTAGTGGAACTCTTGCCAATTCTCCCTGTGAACTAGCAAGCAGTGTGCGCACAAGTAAACGACGAAGGAACGAACGAACGCAGAGATCACACGAGCATCCGTGCCTAGCCCGTAGTCTAGCTCCCGTTGTAGTAGTTATCTCCGCATGGTGAGCGTGGACGGCACAGTACCTTTCAGTGAGGTCGACGTAGTGGTCGCTTACCTAAGTTGCTCGTAGGCCGGCAGCCGTGCAGTCACTAGCGTGCGCGTAGGTGACACAGAGATGATGGACACCCTAGAGGCACATCTGGAGTACGTCTGCTGCCCCAGGTGCTGGTGAGTCTGCTCTCTCAGGTACCACGTCGGCTCAGGCCTTGCACACTTTCACCCTTGACTCGGGTGCTTCCCGCTCTTTCTTCCGAGACCGCACCACACTTACGCCGCTTAGTCGGCCGGTTGCGGTCTCCCTGGCGGACCCCTCTGGGGGTCCTGTCCTTGCACACTTCTCCACTGTCTTACCGTGTCCGGCGGCCCCCTCTGGCACCCTGTCAGGTCTCTACCTCCCCTCGTTCTCCACGAACTTGGTGAGTGGTGCTGATCTACAGGATGGGGGGGTTGACCAGTTCACTCCTGCGAGTCAGCGGGTGACCCACTGTACTTGTGCTCGGACGGGCCGACACTTGGCCACGTTTACCCGTCAGCCGGGGTCGAGCTTGTACACACTGACTACTGAGTCTCCTCCGGTCGCTGAGTCTGGTCAGGTAGCTGCGTCGGGTCAGGTGTTTGCTGCGGCTTCCAGGACTGGTCCTGAGTCTGCTCCCTGCTCGTGTCGTCTCCTGTCCCACCGGACTCTCCTCTGGCACCACCGCCTTGGTCACCCCTCCTTGCCTCGTCTCCGAGGCATGGCCTCCCGTTACCTTGTCTCTGGTCTTCTTCGGTCCCTCCCTCCCCTCCCTCCGGGGCCTGCCCCCACCTGCGTTCCCTGCGTCGAGGGACGGCAGCGCGCCGCTCCTCACTCCTCCGAGTTTCCTCCGACAGAGGCTCCACTGCAGACTCTTCACATGGACGTGTGGGGCCCCGCCCGCGTCCGTGGACAGGGTCACGAGCGTTACTTCCTGTTGGTGGTTGACGACTACTCGCGTTACACCACGGTGTTCCCCTTGCGCAGCAAGGGTGACGTCACTGAGGTGTTGATCGACTGGATCCGCGCAGCTCGTCTCCAGCTCAGAGAGAGTTTCGGCTCGGACTTTCCTGTTCTGCGTCTGCACTCTGACAGAGGCGGGGAGTTTTCCTCTGGCCTTCTGGGAGCCTTTTGTCGTGCACAGGGCATCCGCCAGACGTTCACGCTTCCGGCCTCTCCACAGCAAAATGGGATTGCTGAGCGCCGCATTGGCATGGTCATGGATGTCGCTCGTACGTCCATGATCCATGCGGCTGCTCCCCATTTTCTGTGGCCGTTCGCGGTTCAGTACGCGGCGCATCAGATCAACCTTCAGCCCCGAGTCTCCTTGCCGGAGACCTCCCCCACCTTGCGGTGGACGGGGAAGGTTGGCGATGCGTCTGCGTTTCGTGTCTGGGGATCTCGGGCGTTTGTCCGCGACTTGTCTGCGGACAAACTGTCCCCCCGTGCTGTTCCCTGCGTCTTCCTTGGCTTCCCCCCTGACGCGCCTGGTTGGCAGTTTTACCACCCCACCTCGCGCCGTGTTCTGTCCTCCCAGGACGTCACGTTTGACGAGTCGGTTCCGTACTACCGTCTCTTCCCCTACCGCACTGCGCCCCTTCCCCCGCCGCCGCTCTTCCTCGCGCCAGGTCACCCCCCGGTAGACCCTCTCCCCCCTCAGGGTCCTGCCCCGTCAGGTGTGTCCCAGGTAGACGCTGTCGAGCCTGTCGAGGTAGCTGTTGACTCTGGTGCTGCTAGGGGTGCTGAGCCTGCGGGTGCGGGGTCTCGGGGTGCTGAGCCTGGGGGTACTGAGTCTGGGGGTGCTGAGCCTGGGGGTGCTGAGCCTGGGGGTGCGGAGCTTGGGGGTGCTGAGCCTGGGGGTGCGGAGCCTGGGGGTGCGGAGCCTGGGGGTGCTGGGTCTGGGGGTCCTTCGGGTACTTCGTCTCGGCGGGAGCTATCCTCTCCACAGGAGCTGCGCGAGTGGTTTGCCAGGCGCTGGAGTCGTGCTACTGGAGCTGGGGGTGCTGCTGTTGCTGCTGACCCTACGGTAGGCGCTGGAGGTGCTGGAGCCACTGGTCGTGGAGGTGCTCGTACTGGCGGTACTGGAGCTGCTGGGACTGGGGGTGCTGCTGGGACTACTGGAGTTGGTCCTCCTGGAGGTGCTGTTGGTGCTGCTGGGGGTACTGGAGCTGCTGGTGCTGCTGGGGGTACTGGAGTTGCTGGAGGTACTGCTGGGGCTGGTGCTTCTGAGGGTGTTGGAGTTGGCGCTGCTGGAGTTGGAGGTGCTGCTGGCGCTGGTGCTCCCGCTGGTGGTACTAGTACTGTCCTTGCTGGTTCTGGAGGCGCTGCGCGGCCGCGGCCGTTCTTCGTTCCGCTCCTTGAGCAGGTTCTTGGTCTCCCGCCTTCTACTGGTCCTCCTCCCTTAGAGTGTCCACAGCCTGTCCAGTCGCGGTCACAGTTAGAGCCTGCCTCCCCACTGCCTGCTCCTTCTCCCTACGCTGGTCCTACTAGAGGTCTTGCTGAGCGTCGTGCGCCTGCGTCTCGTCCTGTGTCGCCTGTTCGTGCTGTTCGCACTAGTCGTCGTGTTCCACGTCAGCGTCCTCCTGCGGTCCCAGGTACACACCAGATGGCACTGCGACCTTCCACTGCTCCGCAGCGTGTCCCTTTGCCGTCTCCTCCAGAGTCCTCTCTTCCTGCTCTTGCTGACCCGGAGTCTGACTCCCTTCGTGCTGCCAGTCCTACTGTCACGCGTCTCCTGGCTACTGTTGTCACTGAACCTTCCTTTGAGTCCACTGCTGCGTCTGCCTTAGTTGCTGAGCTTGTCGACTTTGCTGCTCACTGTCGTCTAGACTACGCTGCTAGTCTTGTTGCTGAGTCTGAGTCTGTCTGTCCTCCGTCCGTCGGGGGTGAGTGTGCTCTTAGCACGGACGTCCTTGAGGACAGGCAGGAGGAGTTCCAGTGTTTTGCTGCTGCTTTGCCTCATCTCGTGTCCATGCTGATTGCCCCTGAGGGAGACCCGGATGCACCAGACATCCCGACTCCTCGATCGTACGCTGAGGCGATCGAGGGTCCCTACTCCTCACAGTGGCAGTCAGCCATGGACGAAGAGATGGCTTCCTGGAAGTCCACAGGCACCTACGTCGACGAGGTTCCCCCACCCGGGGCGAACATCGTCAGTGGCATGTGGATTTTCAGGGTGAAGCGGCCGCCGGGTTCTCCGCCTGTCTTCAAGGCGCGTTACGTGGCTCGAGGCTTCAGTCAGTGGCAGGGAGTTGACTACTTTCAGACCTTCTCTCCCACCCCGAAGATGACCACTCTTCGGGTGCTGCTACACATAGCCGCTCAGCGTG